GTAATAGCACAGACTCCGTTTTGAACACGCGAGTCATAAAGGATATAAACGGTGAAATTCCTAAACCACGCAACTCAATTTGCGGCGTTGCAACCCTCTCGTTATGCATTATTTTTACCCTAGAAAATTACTCAACGTCGTTTTTTGAAATATTTCGGGATGAATTTTCTATATTGCGTGAACCTCCAAGGAATAATGTTGATCCGTTTCTCATTAAAAAGATGAAATAGAAGAGGAGATTTTGAGACGCTAGCAGACGCGGTACGTGCTTTGGAGATTTTAATGTCAATATATCGCCGTGGTAAGACTACAGTGGCGATTCTTGAAAGATGACAGAATCAAATTTTCAATTAGTGCACTTGCGACAGAATGTGGATTTACTTTTCTTTAACTGACAATGAGCACGGCAGTACACGAATCAAGTTGTGTGATGACCTCATCCATTTAGGTGGATTTCTGAAAATCACACTTGCATAGGCACCCTTGCAATTCCATCCGCGTATTAATTTTTGCGGAAGCTCTAATTGAGCGCTTCAGACCTGAAACTTTTCAGATAAATAAGCACTCGTCGATCCGCATAATAACCTGATAATTTGTCTAGAGATAAAATTATTCTATTCTAACAATAGAATATTACTGAAGAGGTAGGCTTATTTCCAAAGATAGCTACTAAAATTTCCAATCGCTGCAGGAAAATAATATGATACCTATTATTTTGATGATGATGATGGTGATGGTGATGATAATGATAATGGTGATGATGATGATGATGATGATTATGATGATTATGATGATGATCTTAGCCTCTAAGTCGCGGTCATTGCAATTTCTCGCGATGTGTACCACTTAAAATTTGGGGGTATAGCTCCCGTGGGACCGTCCGTCGCGTCGGTGAAGCAAGTGTCAACAATAGTTATATAGAAGTTTAATTTAGGACTAGGGAAATTCAGAGAATTGAAAAATTCAGAATTTGTTTATTTAACACTGAATGACCAAAAAAACCCCGTTTGAAACGATATTCTTGGCGGGCTTTGTTGTCGTGGCCAGCGGGGAAAACTGCATCCGCAGATTGGTTGAATTCAGCGTCAGGCATCGCCTTGTTACCTTTACCGTCTGGTTTTAATTAGCTTTTTCACCCTGTAGAAATGATTATTAGGACTTCTAATGAGCTTTTTGGTTTTTTCACAAAATTCTGCGAAGGGTGAATTTATACAGCACCCCTGCAAAAAGTTTAAAGTTTAAACTTAATTGACCAAGGCCTTATTGGGAATCAAAGTTAGGGACGCACCTATTTTTTCAAAGCTTTTCGCACTATAGTGCATCGTCTAAAACTTTCATTCCAAAGAAGGCCTTGGTCAATCAATTTTTAACTGTACACGATGACTTCACAACCCTGCCAAAATTCATTGTCATTGTCTTTAAAATCATAAAAAAGAGAAAAAAAAGAAGAAAAAAAGCTTAATGGAAGTTCTATTCAAAGGCCAGGGAAAGCCAGGGAATTCGGAAATTTCTGAAGCAGGAAAATTCAAAAAGAGTCAGGGAATTGAGGGGCTCGGAGGACAAGGCGCGAAATTACATGGATCCTCATGGCCGAAAAAAAGTTCAAACTGACTTTTTGATGCTTAAAAATTGGCATTTGGGAGCGAATTTTTCACAGAATATGCATTTAGACTACTTTTATTCGAAATCATTAACCTCAATTTTTTCAAAAACTTCACTCATGCGCCTTGTCCTCCAAGTCCCTCAGTTGTAAAATGAAGAATTATGGAAACCCTGGATTAAATTTCCCAACCTTTAGAGCTTTGAGCTTTGAGAGGCCGGAGCTTTTGGAGAGAACGATGACTCCGTCCAGGTGCGTTTTGATAAAAGCGGGACGAGCGTTATCAGTCTCTGTCTCGGTGCGGTCATTGAAGCTATCGTCGAAGTTTTCGTTGTTCTTTGCGCGGGCTCCGCTCTCGAGTGTGGAGTCATGCTCCGACCGAATGTGCGTGGCCCGCAATCGGAACTGCGCGCAAATCCGATCCCCTTGTATCTATCCACCGCACCGGCCGACTTTTAAACTTTCGAACAATAATTACAAGAGGCCCCATCGCCGACCGACGGCCCTGGTTAATGGAGGTCAAAGGTCACCGTTAGTAAACCGTCCGTCCCGTCTGTCCAGAAGCCTAGCCCTAGCGAGGCGCCCCTCTTCAAATGCCCACCCTGAACTATAGCCATTCAAAATGGAGTCATTGGTGCCCCTCACTGGAAAAAAAACCACTTTGAGACGCATAGAGTCCAGGCTCGTGAAAACATTGACAAGAAAAAATACTCTTGATTCAATCGGATTTTTGCTTGAATCAAAACGAAATCCGCTTAAATTAAGAGGTATCTAAATCTAGGCATCTAGGTATTAAATCTAGAGTACTTTTTCTTGTGGATGTTTTTAAGAGCCTGGACTCTAGATCCAATGTCTTTTTTTTCCAGTGCTGCAGATGCTGGTGAGCAAGGGTGCAGAAAATGTCCGATCACGCGCCCCTGAAAAGCCCCAAAAATGTGGAAGGAGGGAACATTTTGAGGGGCCAAGAGTCGAAAATGAAAGGAAAACAGAAGACGTCATCTTTCTGTAGATTGATGGGAAATTTTGTTAAAAACTGATGAGGAAAATGTGGAAAGCCGGCCGGCGGGCGCGTGAAAATGTGAAAGCTTGGAAGATTCTGCACCCCTAAGGAGTAATATTTGGACATTTTGACGCAAAGTTGATCCTGATAGCTCATGAATAAAGGGAGGTATGACGATTAAAGTTGAAGTTCCAAGACAGATATTCTTGAGTTTTAAGTTAAAATTTGATGTTAAACGTTGACCCATAACCATAGCGTCGCGATGTACTGGAGCGCCGATGAAGTTACTTTTTGAGACTGTTTTGTCCAGTACCCCTGAGACTACTGTACTAACAGCAACCCAAGAGGGACCCGTCAGTAAGCCCGCCATTTTCTATCTTAGTCTGAAAGAACGAGTCATTTCAACCGATAGGATCACTCCATTTTTCCTTTTATCCTTTGTCTATTGCTTTGTCTATAAATTTCAATAATCAGCCCGCTTCCGTGAGGACGCGTTACGTCCCTACACTTCGTTACAATCTGCAGTGAACCCTGTTGTCCATATAATTCAATGCTTTCCCGGGCCCATCTCTAAATGTAGTTACGCCCTTTTGTCAGCGGAGCGACGTAACAACGTCTATGACTCGCGCCTCCTTTAGCTCGG